GAGAGAGAGAGAGAGAGAGAGAGAGACTTTAACACTCAAATCTCCCGCCATATGACTTCGTTTGCGAGAGTGGTCAATAGCCTCTTTTTTTTCAGTCTGCTCCTTTCTTCTTCTTCTTCTTCTTCTTCTTCTTCTTCCTCTTCTCCTTCTTGTACTCCTTCCTTCTCCTCGAACCCCTCCCCTCAGCGGACTGGCTGCTACAACACACCCTTTTACCCCTTGTCAAACCCCAACCCCCCCACCTCCCCACCCCCCAACACACATGACTTTCACAAGTTTCGCTGCAGATTCGGGCTCCTCTCAGCGAGCGCACTCCAACCCCATCTTCAAAAAAAAAAAAAAAAAATCCTGGGATGTCTTTTGGCTCGTCTGGTTTTGCCGGACGGACCCCCCCCCCATCTGTCTGGCCCGGTCTGTCTGGGCCTGACGTCGGCCTAACCCAGATTGTATTGCCTTTTCCTTATACAGTTTTTTCTACCCTTTCTTAATTATTTTTTCTCCTAAGACAGGGGCCATTTGAGGTCCCCCTTTTATCTATTTCTGCTTGCGGCTCCCCTTTTATTGTGCCTCTGACGTACACGACTTGCCCTGTTGACTGTGATGGAGCGCAAGCTTCCCACATCCCCGTGTGCCATAACAGCCCGCTTGCATGCTGTGAAAGAAGGCAGAGTGGAAAGGGGAGGTATAGTCTTCTTCATTCTTCCTCAGATCTTCAGCATATGTTTTGTCTGTTCTCATAATGACGCTCATTCATATGCATTCAGTAGTACACAAGGGAAAGGAGGAAGGAAAAGGGTAGGGGTTGAACTTTTACAGGAGGTGAGGGAAGGGGGAGGAAGGAGGGGAACAGGAGGAATAGAACACAGGAAAGGACTGGTTCGGGTGTGGACTGTGGAAGCACCACATCCAATTCTTGCAGTTGCAGTTGCTGCATCAAATGGCATGGCATAGTCAGATGTCACATGATACATGGCTCCTATATGCTAGCAACACAGGCACGCCGACCACAATTGTATAGGCATTGCCACATTAGCCCCTTTCTACAAATAGGACATGCCACGTCAGAGTGTCCGCATGAGTACAATATGGCCTCGACTCGTACGTATGGAAACAAAAAAACTTGCTGGGTTATGACATGCTAGCCGAATCTCAGGTTGGCCATCATAATGCGGCGTTGAGGAAGTTTCATGGGTTTCCACGGTCAATATTCCCTCTCTATGGGAAGGCAATGACAGGGCCTGATACAAAGTAAGAGTGTACAGTTGTTGCAAGATCTGGTCTGCAACAGCTCGCCCTGCGTCGACAACCTTTCAGTAGGTGGTTCATGTGAGAGCCTATTTTCCACCTCAGGATCCTGTGTCTCGTCTGGCAAGACTGAAGAAGATCCGATCAAGTGCAGCAGGTGTACGCCAACATTGCATGTGGGACAGACACACACACATAGCATGTTGTTGACATGCTAGCAGGAAAGCTGCCTGACCCTCACAGTTATTTAAACAACCAGTACACCACCCTGGCAATTCTTTTCCCTCTCCCTCAATTCAAGGAAAACCTGGGCAGACCTGGTGGAGCCTTGGCACACTTGGAGTGTACAAGACAACAGAAGGACAAGAAAGAAAATAAGAAGAGACAAAATAGACAATAGAAGAGATGAAAAACAAAAAAGAAAGGTTTTTGAACGGTGCAGGTGGAAGAACTCCAAGTTCTGAGACAAACAAAGGTCAGGCTGCTCGGCAGTGGGTAGTGCAAAATGAGAATGGATCTTCAGCTACAACAATGATTCAGAGAAGATTCGCATGGATGTGACTGGTGAAGCACGGCCACTCATCGGCCCTGCTACACTGCTGTCGAACTGTTCATGAGAATGAATCTGCCGCTAGAACGTGGACAATTTGCCCTACTGTTCCTGTGCAAGGATGATACGCATAAATCGAGAAACTATCCAAATTAGAAAAGGAAAAAATTATATATATATAAAGTATTATAAACTTATATAAAGCACGTCTTTTAGGATGTGGTGAGAGACGGAGCGAGCCGGACGCTGCATTGCTGAGCAACTGTTCACAAGAATAAATCTTCCGCTAGGACGTGGTATGGTACAGGAAAGATTAACCCTACCGGCACTGCTTTTATGCATGAGGTGACTGTGTGGAGTGAGACTGCTTGTCGAACGAAGTGGGGCCGCGCTGCACTACTATCGATGAGTGCAAAATGAGAATGAAATTCAATGAATCTTTCACCAGAACAAAGAACGATACACAGAAGATAAGAATGGCCCTGGGCAACGAGACAGAGAAGATTGGCATTGCTCTGCGCAAGGATGACACGTATAAATCGAGAAAGATACAGCGCCATACTTTTTGCCTTTTGTGCAGGTGGTGAGAGTAGTGGGGCAAGACCTCTCCTGCAGTTGTGGCCGCCCATAGGGAAAAGAAAAAACACGAAGGGTAAAAAACAAGGCAGGTAGAGAAAACAATGCAGGTAGACGTACCTGAAACGGTTTTCACCTTTTTGCACTCACAGATGCGGGTCCTAGAGTTCGATCCCCAGACGTCACCTTACCCATGTACAGTATCGAGTTGACCACCGAGTGTCTGAACCCATGACCTGTGTTTCAGTAGTTGGTTGTCGTAGGTCTGTAGATGTAGGGGTTCGATGTGTAGGTCTGTCAAGTAGGGGTTATAGCTGTGTAGAGGTCGAAACTGCTAGGCTAGAGGTCGGTAGGTGAGTCGCAGGTCCAACTGCGTTGGGTCGGCAGTGCAACCTCATGCAGTCAGGGTTACCAGTCCCAGTCGTACTGAATCCGGTCAAGCAAGTACCGTGTGGGACTGTGCACACCCAGGGCCTGGTGGAAAGGGGCAGACCAGCGGCAAACAGAAGTATAAATCAAGAGCAGCGCCCAGCAATTCATTCATTCGCTTCGTAAGCCATGCGGAAGCGCTGCTACAGCATCTTGTGCGGAGGTGGTCTGCAGGTTGCCCGAAGACGAAGTGGGCTGATGAGAGAGATCGTAGTCATAGTCAGTAGTGATAGACCGGCCATAGCCTCTGTAGAAGGAAGATAGGATTAGTGTGTGTGTGTGGTGGTATTCAGGGCGAGCCAGAATTGAGTATGTGCAAACGGTGGTATCGGACACAGTGATGAAAGTTGGTGTGCAGGCGCCGATGCGCCATAGTTGTTGAAGCGATTTTGCATCTTAACTGAGTTCTCGTTTCTCATATCTCTGAGCTTTGAGTGGGCGCGAAGCGCCAGTGTGAATCGCCATCTGTTTGCATGTATGCGAAGTGGAAGAGAAAGCGAGTCTGATTGCATACCGGTCACCCGGATTGAAGGGTCGGACTTCCGCTGTATGCCTACTTCTCACCAGCTGCATTCACATGAAACGAAGAGATTCGGTAGGTTGACAAAGAAAGGTTTGGGAAGCCTTCTTCAGGGGTGCTGGTAGTTTAAGAATGGCATGTCAAGGGGACAACGACAAAATGGGCACGCAATAAGAGAGTGGGGGGATGAGTGTATGACAATGGGTCACAATTTTTGCGGCAGAGGCTGACAGTGACCGCTCTGTACCCCTGTATGGAGACAAAAAGGCATGGCATAGCCACCATCCTCTGCAGGGACCGCCTCACTATCTACAGCAAGCTGCCTGGCTACGTTCATGGGAGTGGGAACGGTCAGCTGAATTGTTCTCCGGAGATCGTCGAGCTTGCGACTGCACATCCACACATTGGTCCTTATTGACCACCCAGAGCAACTGGGATTCTATCACTTAGAGATAGTAAGAGGTAATATTTCCCAATGCATGCACCCTGCCACCATTATCGCACAGGGTCCATGAATTATCCACAAAGGTAACAGCACCGAGACTCGGGCGATGCAGGAGGTACGCACGAATATTCAGGTCCATGTTAGGCATATTAGTCTGTGGACTGTGCTGGAGTTGCAATCGTCTTTCCAAAAACGCCAAAGACAGGAGTCTATATTCATGCCACTTGCAGTACTGCCATCCTCTCGGCAGACAGCACGGTGCTCCACCTCTATCCAGCGGACAATGTTCATTTGAATCAGAAACAGTACAGGGGTCATGACTGTAAGCGAGGGGACACGCATTGATGGTGTACTACGCACAGTGGCCTCGTTGTAGCTCTATCAGATGATTTGATTATGCACCTTGCACAGCAGGGGGAGGTTCATATCGGTATCAACAGTCTCTATCAAGCTGTAGCATGCGTACCGCCGAGAGAGAATCTCCAGTTGGGGTTTTCATCAAATCATTAGAGGGCGGACCATTCGCATTTGGAGAGGGAGCAATCAGGGCAATGTGGACTAAAAGTGGGGGGTCAGATGCAGAAAGCAGAAGCAAGTTAGTTGCACTTGTACTAGAGTGGCCGCTCGTCATGCAAACGTTGCACAGATAGCTGCACCTCATATCTGGTGCACACACACACAACCCTGCAGCACTGAAAACATCATTGCCACATTGTGGACACCAGACTCAATATACATACTATTGTTGGCTTCTTAGCAGGTGCAACGAGGACATTGTTTCGTTAGGCACGGCTGCGAGCATGGCGTCGGAGCAGATTGCTCACCCCCGTCGGAGGTGTGATGATCATGTTGTTCCATACAACCGAGGCCGCTGACTAGAAGGCAGCAGTGGCAATGGGCAACATCTCCGCCGAAGAGGCCTCTGTGACGGTCGATACAACCATGAATGTATTGATGAAGACTACAAGGAATAGGAGGAGGAGGAGGACGACGAAGTAGAGGACGCAGTTGACGCAGAGAGTGATGTAGAAGATGTAGGTGAAGGAGGAGGTGGTAGTGGTAGTGGTGGAGGCACGATTTCAACAGCAGCCACATTGGTAGGATGACAGCTATCATCCCCTGCAGCCACTTCGATAACATTTATGTTGTCTGCTACAAACAGCCGGCTTTCCAGTTCGATTGTAGTATCAACATTAGCAGCTGTCATTCCAGTAGTGTTATAATAGGGGAGGGCGGACCCACTGCGTGTGAGATTATGGAGTGCTGATGCTGCCTGTACCCAGAATTGGTACTCGGGAGTGGGGTGGGCCCCATTGCGTGTGATTGTGTGGACGGTTGACGCTGCCTGTGCTCAGAATTGGCATTCAGCAGAGGGTGAGCAATTGACCAGTGCAACCAGTTCGTAAGTCGGGTGACATGAGTGAGCAGCCACTGCTGCAGGACGTACAAGCGGTCAACCACTCCCTGAAACTTCTCTGAAAGCAATTCTGGAGTCGAGAGGACTGAGCTATTTAAAGTTTTTTTTTCAATCGGGTTTCGGCGATTTTAAAGTTGCTGAAATTGTTGAACGCCCCTTCTTTGTATACCATTGAACATTCCAAAAAATTTGAAGTCATGCATAATACTGCATATGCTGCAAATTCTGAATGTCCCCGATGAGGGCAGATCCAAATTGACTTCGAAGATTCAGAAAACTTCCAAGCGGTGGAGATGTTGAAAATTCTGACCACCCCCAAATCCATATTGACCGTGGAGAACATAAAAATTTTGGAGCGGTGAAGATGCTGAAAATTCTGAAGCACATAAGCAGTCCAACCTCTTCCCAGGACACTGGGGGGATGGCCCCTAATAAGCATACGTCATGTCAAGGAAGTCGCAGCTCCAAAGTCGGCAGTATTGATACAATCATGCTTGAACCTCGTAAGCTGTCCCCAAGCCCACGTGCAGGCAGATGAGCTGGGTCATTGGAGGAAGCACAAGGATAGTGTATGACAGGGGATGTCCGAGCCTCCAGCCTTACTTGCAAATGTGAAGCAATCCATCTGACTTGCTTACTGGATTCTTGCCCCGAGGAAGAGACAAGAACACACCAATGCAAAGTGAGCCATCTGGCTGAACCGAGATTCTTGACCCGAAGAAGAGACATGACCCATATTGCTCCATAGTGTCTTTCCTCTAAATACCATATCGAGCAGAAGGGGGTGGAGATGTCTTCCAAGATGGGATATCATCAATGAGCCAATGCGTGCATGCATATGGTTGAGCTGTGTGTAGATCTTACTGACAAAGTTCACTGTGTCACCATAGTGATAAGTGTTAGAGACCATAAAACATAGACGCAGTTCTTTGTCTGACATTGAAAGAGCGTCAGAGTTATGTGAAGCAACCATACTAGTGGCGCATACGTGAGGTTCGCTGATTGCAGATGCGCGAAAAAAAAAAAAAAAAAAAAGGAACGGGGGAGGGGGTGTACAAGAGAGAGAGAGAGAGAGAGAGAGAGAGAGAGAGAGAGAGAGAGAGAGAGACCAAAGAGCCCTTTCACATTTTTCAGAAAACCCCTGGCCGTACTTCAAAAGGTCCCTGCCAAAAGTTAGCAAGGACCTCGTCCGCAGGAGAAGAATAGTCGTTGGGTTTGTAGTAAGGAGGGAGCAGGCCAGGTATATATGGTGTAGCTTTGAATTCAGGTCCATGTTTCAGCAGTTATGGGTTACTGTAACTTACTGACTTACTAACTCGGCATGTGATTTTCAGAGCTTCACTCCACTACTCACCAGATGTGCAAAACTAGAATAAATCTCCTCCTAGAAACTGGAACCGTACAAGCCACATGTTTCTCTTTTGTGCAAGTGCTGATGAGTGGAGCAAGGCCCGCAGGGCCACTGCACGTAAGAAAAGGAAAAACGAAAAGAAGTCTTTGGAGTAAGTTCATAACCCATAACTCTTGGAACACAGACCTGAATCGGAATCCAGAATGGTCCCCGCTAATTCTTTGCAGGGGACCCTTCTGAAAAGATACTAAATCCAATGAGTACAATCTGGCCCCAACTGAATTTTTCCCTGTGCAGTTACAATTTTCAGAAGGGAGGCAGACATTTGGTTACCACAGCCTGCCCTTCCGATTTTTATTTTTTTAAATTCGTAATAGCGCTGCGTCAAGTGTGTGCGCACATGTACACGTGAGCTATGCGGCATTTGGTTACCACAGACTGCCCTTCCGATTTTTATTTTTATTTTAATTTGTAATAGAGCTGCGTCAAGTGTGTGCGCACGTGTGCATGTGAGCTATGCGGCGCATGTGCGCAACTCGAGTGCACGTGATGCGCCGCATGTATGGAAGCAACTCATTCTCTGCAATGAGGACCTCCCACTGTCATGCACATTTGTACCGGCTTCTGAGTTTGTCAAATCAACTCCAAGACACAATCATGTGCTCGATGAACACCGATGGCATAGTCATTTGCTCCATGAAAGGCACCAATGGCATAGTCGTTTGCGCGCACATTGTTGCCCGCTCCCACCACTGGTCACACCCGCACCCATTCTAGCCGCTGCCTGCTCCTCTCTCTCTCTCTCTCTCTCTCTCTCTCTCTCTCTCTCTCTCTCTCTCTCTCTCTCTCTCTCTCTCTCTCTCTCTCTCTCTCTCTCTNTCTCTCTCTCTCTCTCTCTCTCTCTCTCTCTCTCTCAGTAGTAGTACCGTTTTCTGTTTCGCTGCGAAAGAAGCAAGTGTTTGGGCACACCTATCATTTGCAATGAATCTGAGAATGCCAAAAGCAAGCTAATGGAACAGGGAGGCTAGAAGGATGTCAGATCATGTTCACTCAAAAATTTAGGAGAGGGTTGAACGGGATGTTTTGCAGAAGTGGAGCCAACATATGAGATCTGGCCAAGATATCAGCCGTCATACTGCTGGAGAAAACGATGGCCACAAACTGCAGCCACATCATGTCAGCGACTTCTAAAGTTGTAGGGACTTCCATCCTAAACATGAAGTTAAAAGGGATTAATATCATTATATACGCGATGGCTAGAAGAACGGTGTTGCCCAGCATTAAAAAACACCATACCAAACTGGGCAGGTGCCTTTCCACGCTTACGGCTTTAGTCAACTGCTAATTCATAGCTTAAACCAAAATGAATCTGTTCCAAGAATGACTGCGCACCTGTTCCAGGAACTCCAGCTCTCTCCGGCGCTCTTCCCTTGCTGCCTGCTCTCTCCTGCAATGTTGTCAAGGTGACCAGAGACAAAGAAAGAGAAATAAGAGACATAATGTAAGAAAAAGATGGTTTCAATAGATGTGTTTACAAGTGCAATATGCAGTATAAGCAAATAAAGGAAAGTGTTTGAAATGCCTGTCCAAACCAAAATGACCCGCCATCCCTTAAGGCAGCCTGAATGGCGCGGTTACCTTTGCCTGCCAAATGTACACTGCCGGTAGTCGCCCTGGTGATGACAACCCTTTCGAATGCTGCAATGCAGGTTGTTCATGAGCCAGTCTGTTTCCCACATCAGATTGCTGTACCCGCTCTTTGGCCACCCTGTCGGTTTGAGTTTCCATTGACTTTCATGAAGTCTATTTACTTTCATGAGGCCAGTTTTTCCAGATTGCACATCCTGCATCATTTACTTCACACATTTTGCTCTGCGGGTCAATCCATTTTTGTGTGAAGTATTGATGAAGACATTTGCTCCTGCTGGTCTGCTTTGGTTGCCAGTTCATGTTTCAGCTTGGGGGCAGCCTTTCGTATGTTTGCTCTTAGCTGACTCTGTTATCTTCGCCTTAGCTTGGACATAGCAAAAGGCGTGCTCTTTCCCTCCCATGAACACCGCATCCTCCAGATTACCATCAGTATAGTCAGCCACATTTGTTTCAACAGGTTCCTTTGGAAATGGTACAATCGGCTGGCTTGCGATCTTTTGGCAACCATCAAAAATAAACTTGCACGTGCTGTGGCATCAGTTCTTCTGCATGCACAGCCAAATTAGCAGATTCAGAAGCACTACTTACCAAAACAACATGGGCACAACAAGGCACGGCACAAAAGCGACGTGCCACATGGAAGATGAGGTGGCACCAGGGCTACCGAACTGGCCTTCAGAGCACTCTGATTAACGATCCTCTACACAGAATGGCTAACCCAATGATACATACAGACAAGACTGTGTGTGGCTGAAGTTTTTTGCACTTTTAGCAACTAACAATAGTTAATCAAGGTTTCCAAACAACACGCAGAGTGGGTTCCATGGGAAAATTAGGTCATTAAACCATGCTGAAAGGATTTCACACAGTCAGTCCCCGAAGTCCTGGTCCCAAGGTCCCGATTGGTCCCCGTCCCAGGCTGTCCCAGTAGCACGGTCCGCAGATCAAAGCGTCGTAGGTCCATGCGTGTCGGATACCGAAACGCCGCAGCTCGGTAGAAGTCCATCGGTACTTCCAGAGGAAGTCCAGTCCCAAGTTCAATTTTGCAGCAGCGTCCCAAGAAAGTCCGGAGACTTCCGGAAACACAAATTTTGGCAAGGCAGAGGCCACAGGCGACCGGTACCGGTCTGAAGCAGGCACGAACAGTCGACTGCAACTATATTCAGCTGCTGCAATGCCAGACCAATTCAGTGGTTCCCTCGTAAAGTTGCTTGTGCGATTCTACTTGCTTGTGCGATAGTGCGACCTGGACGAAGGACGATCGCTGTGGGGGTGCACACGCCCTGGCAGCAATAGTCAAGCATAATTAGAATAGTTGCGAGGAGGATGACGGTGGCCACAGCTGCCCAGGTTCGAAGTGATACATTACAGTAGCATTCAGGGTAGATCCAAGGCAGAGAGAGAGAGAGAGGAGAGGAGAGGCTGAGCAATACAAGTCTAGAGAGTAAGAGAGGAACAGAAGAGAGAGAGAGAGAGGGAGAGGGAGCCAGACACCGAGAGAGGGGAGTTGGGTACTTACCTGAAGTCAAGTTGTGTTGTTGGCTCACGGCAACTGCCACTGGATATTTGAACTCTCTAATTGTATTATATCATATTTTGAGTGGAATTCAGTCAGACACTGAATCTTGTGTCATCTCTCGGGTGTGGTTTGAACTTCCAATGCGAATGTTCGCTTCATGGGTGATGTGATTTGAGTTGGATCTTGCGAGGTTCATTGCACTGTATCGGAGCTGGGGCCCGTTGCACTGCGGCGGAGGAAGGATCCCCAGCAACGGTTAAGGCCGGCAGGTGAGAAGGATATCGGGGTTTGACAGGGGAGTAGGCCAAAGGAGAAGGGGCAAGAATTAGGGTTGGGAACGAGACCTGAGTGTCAGCGTGAAAATACAAGTGACATGCATCTGCCCTTAGCCCTGCCTGCTGAAATTTTCCTGTTTTTGTCATCCCAATTTCTGTTGATGTCATCTTGCCAATTTTGAGTCAGCAACGGTCTGCATGTTGTTGATTGGTCAATCAGAGTACCAATCTTTCCTGGAGGAAAGGCTTCTCCCCTTGTGGGGAAGTGGTTAGTGGTTGCCAGCCTACCTGGGGGCATTGCATACCCAGTGGGACCCTAGCCCTGTGAGAGTGAAAGTCTCTTGTATGCTTCAGGTCTAAGGTAAGAGCTCGGCAGCTGGAGGCACTACCTGTGCAGTAGGGAGCACGGGAATGAGCAGCAGGCGCTCGTTAAACAACCTGTCTAGCCCAATGACCGGTGCTGTCCGGCGTGCAAACGAACCAGGCAGAGCAGCGAGGAGCTCTTACGTCTTGAGAGTGAACCTTCAGACTGGTAGCCATGATGTCCTGATTGCATCATTCAATCATTCCTGAGGTCCTTGCTCGCAGAACTTAAATCACTGGTTGGCCACCAGTTGCTAGCGGACTGTAAAGGGAGATTACGTTAGTCAGACTCTGAATTAGGTCAGGTTGTAAGTTTTGACAGTTACGTCTAAGTGGGGAGGAGGTGGAGCATACTTACCTGCTATACTAACATATCACCATGCACGACTACCCCATGTTCGCTTTCCTCTCGTTGACTGTCATCTGGCAAGTGTTGTTGCAGTTCTTATTCCCCCTTGGCTTCTCTAGGACGACTAGGATGCATACAATTACTCATGGGTCCGGTAAGGTGCCCTTATAGCCAGGGGGCGCAGAGTATGAGACGGCAAAGAAAAAGCAGGAGGAGGAGGAGGAGGAGGAGAAAAACAAAAAAGAGGACAAAGAAAGATAAAAGAAACAATTGGAGGAGAAGAAGAAGTTGGAGGAGCAGATAAAACAGGTGGAAGAAGATGAAGAGAAAGGGGAGGAGAGAAAGGACGAGGAGGAGAGAACGGGAAGGGGGGATACCACTGTGGTACCCAGAGAAGAGGTACAGGAGACCAGCCAGGGGAGGAAGCCTCTAATGATGATGGGAATTGAGGAAGAGAGGGACTGGCTGGGTCATTTTGGGTTACAGAAGGAGAAGACCCTGGAAGACCTTCAAGAGGAAGAGGATGCCTTCCTGGCTGTATTGGCTGCTGCTGACAGTGAGGAAGAAGGGATGAGGCAGGACGAGCACCGAATTTTACAGACAAAGAGGGCAATGCAGCAGAAAAGGAGGGAGTTTGAAAGGAAGAAGAAGATGCTGCAGGATGGGGCGTCCATAGCCGTTAAGCTTAAGGAGCAGGCCAAGGCTGAGGCCAAAACTGACATTGACACTAAGATACTACTCCTAACCGAAGTTTCCCTAGACGCTGCTAAGGAAACTAATGCGCTACGTGAGACTATGGAGATATTTGCCGATCAGCAGGAGGAAGTTAAAGGCAAATGGAACAACTTTGCCACTGCCACACTGCATAAGATCGACGAAAAGACCAATGAGTATGCATGTGGGATTGAGCAGTTCTGCAGGGTGATGATAGAGCAGTCTGTGGGTAAGGCAAGACCGGAGGAGGAGATGATGGACCCCTGACGATGATGATGATGGCGGAGGAGACCGGAAAGGGAAAGGGCAAGGAAAAGGAGAGGTGGCGAATGAGGATGCCGAGGAGGTCAGGGACAAGATAAAGTTGAAAGTTCCCTGGACTGATAATGGAAAGGAGGAGGGAACTTCCTACAGTGGGATGTGGCCATTAGAAGCTATATCTATGGCCAGAAAGTGGCAGTGTCAGGGCAGGTGATGTTGGCTGTCTCATGCTTGGGAGGAGAGGTAGCCAGTTTTGCAAGCTCGTGGGTGGATCAGGCGGGTACGGGAGATGTCGTGCAATATTTGTGCATTACCCCGCTATTTGCCCTTTTAGACGCCCTATACAAAACATTTAAGGAGAAGACCCCGAGGCAGGCGCACTGCAGAACAATTGTTGAACGTACTGAGGAAATTGGAAGCGTGTCCATGCCTTGAAGGCACACGTAGACGATCTACTGCAGGTACTGGTGTCAGGCGGCCAAAGCGTGTCGGCCACCCGAAATGAGCGGATTCTGCGTCTGTGTCCGCCAACCAGACACATTTCTACGACTTCTCCTGTCTGACCGATGGTGGAAAACACAGAGTATGTGGGTCGACCTCTGTTTCTCACGTCACCATTTACTAACACTAAGCCTACTCTTATGGTAGCAATTATATTAATTTATCTTATTTTTAACGACCTCTTTACGAGGCTAATATACCCTTACTATCATCCTCTCGAAAACTCGGCAGCGAACGGGCACGCGGGCTTCCACGTGAGCGATTTTGTAAGTCTGAGTCAACGGCGGTAATTTATTTATTTTCTGAGTGGCGATCCGGGCCGCCCGGGTGACCGGCAGGGGCCCGGGGGAGGTCCCGGGTGGCCTGGCCGGGCAGGGCACCCGGTTGGCGGCCGGGCCCCCCCCAGCGCACTCACCTGTCGGGGGATTTCGGACCCCCTTTGTGTGTGTGTGTGGGTG